TACAAGGTCCCTTCTGACCCTACTTCTATGATTCTATGTATACAGCAGGTTTATTTTAGAGAATTTTATAACCTACTCAATGGAACTACCCCCAAGAAAGAAAACATATGTGCTTTATTACATAGCTTCTGTGTATGTACACATTTATATTTAATCAAGCAAATAAACTTTATATTTTTTGTTTTAGAAGGCAGTTTTCAAACAGAATGTTCCGTTTCGTTGTTGTCTTTAATAATTCCAAAATAATGTCAGGAAGAGCAAGTTAACCAAGCAGAACATAAGCATTATAGTTTGTATTTAATTTATACATAGGACTAGCAACTTATTTACATTTCTAGCAAAATTAGGTGCATTGCACTGATCTCTGCTCAGAAACCCATGCTTAGTACAGCACTAAGCATGAGTTTCTGAGTCTGAAAGGCAGATGACAAAACTTAAGAAATTGGGAAACTTGAGGAAACAGACAAAGTTAACTGGGCATATCACTCCAGGCTGGTTTTATCTCATCTCAAAACAATAAAAAATAAAAGACAGATTAGTTGGGGTCAAACAGTTAATATTTACTTGTATTGACATTTAATGCAACAACAGTCAAGATTATTTTCTCTTTTGTGTATCACCATACATTTAATAATCAAGAACAAAATAAGTTATTAAACACTATCCTTCCTTCAAAAACTTGTTAGATTTTAGTTTTCAATATATTTTATTAATTTTGCTATATCCTTGACATAAAGGAATATTATGTTAAGAAAAATGAGATGAAAAACAGCTTCAATATCAGTCTAACAAACAAAATTCATGTCAGGACTGGGTGAAAAGGAAATATTTCACAGGGTAGAATTAGAGACTGCATTTGTAATGGGGTTAGTGGCACTGATAGATTTACATAAAGATTTAAGGCCGATATGCAAGTATAATGTTCACTTAATGTAGTTTTGTATACAAGTCTCCATCTCTACCACGATTATGGTCAACTTATTTTATTTCTTGAAAGGATTATCATGAGACTATTGTTAATTTTAAATGGTTTCAGTAATGATGGTAATTTTTCCTGGTAGTTCTTAGATTAGGCCACCATTTAACATTTAGAAGCTGTGCACCAGAGGGTGCAGATAGAAAATAGATACCATATTATGGAACTGGTAACTTTGACTAAATATTCCCTCTGTCATTCTGTTTGTACTTCCCTTTGTCATCTGTAGTCTAATGGAAAAGCAGACTATTGTGTTTAGTGAATGTATATTTTTTAATCCTGGTTCATGTCTTGTTCCAAATTTAATTTGTCTCTCTCTTTAAAGGAACCATAGAAAGAGTAATGCAGGGACTGCCAGAGGCGACTATAGACCAAAAAACTACCTTTTCTCCCTTTAAACTACACCACATAGGGAGACTACAGAATCTAACAAAGTTAAGAGATGCAGGATCAAGACCACAATCTAATTTTCTAAATGTAAAATCAAACCACACGGCTTTGTAAGAAAAGATTTATCACACTAATACATTAATTGTTTTGCCTTCATAAAGCCCATTTACTCTTCTACCGTGTGTATGTTACATAATGGTGCATTATGCCCAGCTGCCTGCAACTGCCCAGCCCAATTTCTACTTGCATTGCCTGGCAGAAGCCTACAGCATGAGTTCTGAACTAACACCTCTGGATCTGTAGCAAGATACCTCAACTGCTCAGCCATTTCATCTCTTGTATAGTTCTTTGCATTCTTTGGTCCTATCACACTGCAAGCCTTTGATTTTGTCTGTGTAGTGACAACTTAGAACTTTTTATTCTATCTATTTTCTATAATTAGGTACTGATATACTAGTTAGCACTGTGAAAGTCCTTTAACTCTAAGAAATTTAAAATATTTATTCCTTTTGTGTTCATTAAATGTTTAGAAAAATAAAATATATGAGTTAATTCACAGGGATTCTATAAACAGACTATACCTACTACATGACTGCACTTGCAGATAGCGCTTAGGTATAAATATGCTATACTTGACAAATATATTATTTGTTTAAAGGAGCAATAATCTGTTAAAGTATGTGACCACATTGCTGTATACATTGTACACTGCTCAACTGTAGCAGCACTGCTACCACATCACTAATTGTATGTTCTGCAGAGTATCATCCTAAGCAGCTGACAGCATCTGAGATCTAGATGCTGCTGTTAAAACAGATTACTCTCTTTACAGCCTCCTAATACTGAACGCATAAAGGCAAATGCTTTCCCCTGCCACAGGGGTTTCAGATTTGCTTGGTCTCTAGGGCCAGATCCAGAATGCAGATCTTCTCATAGGACAGATCTGGATCCACCTCTGGCAGGGGGAGTCGAGTCAGGAGGCATTAATTCAGCCATTGCTTGCCAACATGTATCCTCAATAGCACTCCATGGATTGCCAAAAACTAACTCATCTAGGAGCCCAGGGGATTCTAACTCCTCTAGGGGCCCTGCTGGCTGGATCACAAGGGTATGCAGTCCACCAGCCAAATACCTGATAGCCTGCTCTATTATTATTTGGTCATGCTTATGAAAGAAGACAGAGGACAATAACCTGAATAGGATGGAAAATAGCATCTGAAGATGAAGAGAAAATGACATCCAAAGGCCAAATCATGTCCTCTAAAAAAATCAGTCATCTAAGTCAGTGGTTGGCAATCTTTTTAGGCTTCAGGCCAGAGTGACCCTGTTTGAGCCAGAGGCACACTGGAAGACAAGTGTTAGGACCCATCTGCTGCCACCATTTATCCTATACCAGCACAGGGGGAGTGCCCGCAGCTAGCGATTCCCCCCATGGCAATGAAAAAAAACAACTGCTGCTGAATGCTACCAAAACCCCCATGTCCACAGGCAGGATCTGGCCCACGGGCTGTAGATTGTCAAGCCCTGATGTAAGCATAAGGAATCCCAATTGTTCCTAAGCATAAGGAATCCCTACAGTTCTATTAAAGGGCACTAGCATTATTTCATAATTTTCAAATCGATACTAGGCTGGATGCTACTCCGCCTACAGTGACCTTAGTGACCCTTATGTGCAATTCTATCTTACCCTGCTCAAGTCTCTGAAAAACCTAACACAAAAAGCATGTGGATCTTTCTTCTCCTAGCTGCATATTACAAACACAGATGCATTAATGGATTTTTAGGTGTTTGAATAGGACAGAAAAGAACCACATTTAAATGCTTAATAGGTGGGTAAGATATGGCTCATTATATTCAATATTTAGTAAGACTGAGAAAAAGGCAGAACCTACCCAGAAGATCTTAGAAGCTCAAAAGACATGACACAGACAGAGTACACTGGAAAATTCAGATGATGAAATAATATATACCACTACTCCATTATTTATCATTTTATTAGCTGTGAACAAGTGATACAACTGTGCTTTAGGCAGCAAGGGAGAAAAGTAAAATATTTCTTAGTTTTTTTTCTCTTTCTCCTTAAAATGGAATTGTAGCTTACAGTTTCCAAGGCACTTTTAAAAGCTTTTCACCTAATCAATGCCATCCTTGTGGCACAATGGACTAATTTTTCCTCACCTAAGTATGGTAAAATTCGTGTCTCACTCTCTTCCATACTCACGCACCTGGTAAGCACTTTATAACCTATTGAATCCATGATTTAATAATAATCTTGTGAACTACAGACCTGGTTAAATGTTTACTTATATACTAGGAATAAAAAGGGGTGAAACCACATTTAAATGCAACTGATAAGAAAAGCCTTATGCTGCAAGTTCACTTATCATTCAATGTTGCATGCATAAAGTCATTTTATGCTTCTCCTGTATGCTTCCAAGATAAAATGAGGTATCAGAGTTCATATCAATAAACATATTAAAATCACTAGCCTATAAAATTTATTGTTCTTAAATTCTTTCTTTATTTAACAGATGTATTTGTTGCACTTCTATTCCATATAAAATTTTCAAAGCTAAAAAGGCATCATGACTAAATAGCTGCTTTTACTCTATTTCAGAAATAGTTTACAGTATAAAAAAAACTGATTAAAAAAATACAACTAAAACTACATGACGTCACATAGTAAAAATCATTGGTCTTTACCGGACTGCTTTTTCTCTGAAATAGAATGGCAACGATGAGACTCCCCCCTCAGGCCCCAGGGGAGGCACACCTAGGCCAAGG